AGGGTCACTGCTGGGAACAGGGGGAGCTGAGCTGCTGGGTCAGTGCTGGGAGCAGGGGGAGCTGAGCTGCTGGGTCAGTGCTGGGAGCAGGGGGAGCTGGGCTGCTGGGAGCAGGGGGAGCTGAGCTGCTGGGTCAGTGCTGGGAGCAGGGGGAGCTGAGCTGCTGGGTCAGTGCTGGGAGCAGGGGGACCTGAGGTGCTGGGTTACTGCTGAGAGGGGAAGCTGAGCTGCTGAGAGAAGGGCTTGAGTGACTTCAGTGATTCTGCTGATGAATTGCTCCACAGTGCCTTCCCCAGCAGAGAACAGTGAGACTGCTGCCATTGGGATGCACTTTAAAGTGAACCTGAGACGACTAAAATATAGGTGCAGGCCTTCATGAATATATTAGATGTATTATTTATTTATTACACATTTATATAGTGGCGACAATTTACGCAGCGCTTTACATACGGCACATTCACATCAGTCCCTGCCCTCAAGGAGCTGACAATCTAAGGTCCCCATCTCACATACATAAAGGGCCAATTTAGACAGGAGCCAATTCACCTACCAGCGTGTCTTTGGAGTGTGTGAGGAGACCTACACAAGCACAGGGAGAACATGCAAACTCCTTGCAGATAGTGTCCTGATTTGAATTTGAACCAGGGACCCCCAGTGCTGCAAGGCAGAAGTGCTGACCACTACGTCACTGTGCTAATGGAAGCAGTGTTAGTCCTTGAATGAGTAGTAGGCAGTCCCTGTACAACAAAACTCAGACTGGGAGAGGGAAAAAGCAGCAAAAAGGAACCAGTTGTGTTGCAGTTCAAGGAACATGCTAATAGGAGGAGAAAGCAGAGTGATGAGCCCTTCAGTCTGCTGCTTCTCTTTTCACTGTCCAGTCGTGGGCTGGGGGCGGGACAAGACCTGTAAATGTTACTTAATTGCAGCAGAGAAAAATCAGGCCTGGTGGGGTAGGGTGTGCTGTGTGGCAGAGCTGTGCAAATCTCAGAACTTCCCAGACAGAATACAAATCCTTTGGCAGGTAAAGCCGCTCCCACGTCCCGTGTTTCACCCTTGTGTGTAATCGCAATTCCTTATTCAGCCCAGCCTGTAACTTTGATAACAAGGTCAGTTGCCACGACGTGGAATTTTCCCGCGATGAGCGGGATCGGATATGGGGAAACGGCGAGGAAACCTTGCTCCTAAGAGCTCGCAGTCTGTCGGGATTCCTGCGCGCATCGTTGGCCATATGCCCCAGGATCCCCGCCAAACTTTTAGGAATAGCAGACTGAAGGATTTTCTTGCTAGACTTAAAGCGAGCATCTGTTTTGTTTTTCCTTCCCCTCCTTGTCTTTAGAAAGCCATCTGTTTTCTTCCTGTGTTTTGCCACCACACCGTCCCTTCAATCCAAATATTTAGGCTTTTTTGTTTTGTTTTTGCTGATTTGATTGAGCGCATTGTGAGGATCTCATCTGATACCCCCCATCACCACCACCACACCAACCTCCTCCCTTTTCTTGAGGAAGAAGTCCTCGTTAGTTGGTGTTGTTCAGGGGAATGTCTGAAACAGACGCCTACGCAGAATGCACTCACCCACGCAACGTCCGCCCCCACACAGTTCTTCTCACCCACTTTCCTCCCGTCGTCTCTACGTCTGGCTCCAGCATACTTCCCAGGCTGCCTCTCATTTTCTCCTTCCCCGCGATCGATGGAAAATACGCCATTTGTTTTCTTGCGCCGTTTTTTTTTTCCCTCCACTTTTTTTTTTTTTCGTTCTTTTCCTTTTTTTAAATCCATATGTAGGCAGCAAGCGTGCACACATGTACGCCAAGCCGCGGTATTCTCATTGTATCTGCTCAATTTTTTTGTTTTATAAAGTCAAGGAGAAAAACAGGTGTACGCTGCGTAGGGATTTCTAAATCGTCGGCTTTCCCTGAACAAATGCGTTATTGTGTTACCGCACAGCGAAGAAAAACTTCTTCTTACGCTCGCATCTGCAGCCAGGGCTATCTCTTTTATCGCATTGCTGAAGGAACGCAGACATTTTGTAGTTTGTTTTATGCTTTGTTTGTTTTTTCTGCTTAACTACTCATGAAGCCGAGAGAGCTTAGAGGCTTATACTTATCTGCTCCAAACTTTTATATACTATATAATATACATCTCTCCCTCTCTTTTGCTGGCAGAGCCAACTAAAGATGTTGCCTGTTAAAAAAAGCACATTCATGAACATTTTTGTTTCCTTGCAACCAACGTTTTGCTTGTTTTTGGGCTTGTTTAAAGTGACACTAAACTCAGGAGTTAAATGTTAACAATTTACCCAAGTACCGGAACTATTAAAGCGGACCTATACCCAAATCTTTAAAATAACAGCAAACACACCTTTATAAATGTTTAGTAATGACAATCTAGAAACACATACTTCTAGATAATTGCCGGCTTTGTATTCTTTGTAGGGATGCACCAATAACAGTATTTCGGTATCGAGTACCGATATTTTGTTTTCCTGTACTTGCCAATACCGATACCGGACATCCCATTAAGGAAGCCAGGCGGCCTGTAATGACTCGCTACCCTGCTTCCCGATTAGCCGCGAAGCCGGGCGGCGTGTAAAGACTTGCCAGCCAGCTTCCCGATTAACAGGGAAGCCGTCCCCATGCTTCGCGTCACTATGTGCCGAGAAAGCATGAAGACGGCTTTCTGGGCAATCAGGGCGCCGGGTAATGACGCTCCATGCTCTCTCTTCATGATGAAATAACACGGCTCCTGGCTTCCTGATTGGTCGGGAAACTGGCCAGCGAGTCCTTACACGCTGCTCAGCTTCCTGATTGGCCAGGAAGCCGGCTCCATGCTCCCTCGTCACTAGTGATGAGGGAGCATGGAGCCGGCCAATCGGGAAGCCGGGCAGCATGTAATGACGCGCTGCTCGGCTTCTTGATACAGGAAGTATCGGTTTAGGCATCGGAGCATTTGGGCGAGTACGTCTACTCGCCCAAATACTCGGCATCGGCACTCGGCTGTAGATCCTAATTCTTTGCATACATTATTTCTCTTTGCTTCCCCAGTCTTCTGACAGTGGCCATGTTTACTAAGGGCAGATTATGAACAACAATGTATCTTATTTGTGTATCACTCGGCTGTAGATCCTCCAATCATCTCTGAATTGGTGCTGACACTGTCCTTCCTTCTGGAGGGGGGCTACTTTTGTTCCCCATGGTCCCTGTGTGTGTTGTAAAGTAGTCATCGCTCCAAGCTCCGCCCCTGGGATGGACTGCAATCTCAATACAAATCAGTAAAATAAACATGAGATTGTAGTCCATCACAGGAGCGAGCTTGGAGCAGCCAATCATATTTGTCCTTGACATGCGTTAATTGAAGGAGGATTTTTGATTGGTTGCTGCACGTTGCCTCTTTGCGCCTAAGTCAGTGCGACCCTGTGTATCTCATGGCTGTCCTCTGTTTGTCTCCTGTAGATGACACGCCTGGTGATGCCCGGAATGCTGGAGAGGTGAGTCACTCCCTGCCTCAGACACACAAATAAACACTACCCAGACAAGCCCTCATTATTATTTATAGGGAGGAATCCTTTTCTTTGAAAAATTCATTCTGGTGACTAATCCGCCTGGCCTCCATGTTGGTAGCGATCGGAGGTGACTCATAAGGACGGAGGGTGACTCACTGGCCTCGTGGAATCCTCCAGCTCTCCTCAATGCTCTTGTGGTGATTTTCTTTTTTAGAACGGTATTAAAAAAAAAAGGTCTGTGAGTCATCAATACAGAGTGAACAGCTTTCTATTCTTAGGGGGAATTACATTGAATGGGGGTGGGAGTTTCCTAAGGGATTACCTGCTTCCAGGCTGCAGCAGTTCAGCCATGTTAAAAATGTCAACGTGTAAACACAGCAGCAGTCATGCGTTGTAAGCCCGGGGGCCCCTCAGGACCGCCGGCATAACGCTTGCTGGGCGGGCATCCTTCTGGGCATATAAAAGCCACATTCGTCTGGAAGCTTGTTGTGCTCATCCAATGGCCAGTTGCAACCCGGCTAGAATGATCAATCGATGATCGATGTACCCAAAGTGGATATTTCAATTCGGTGTGGGGGTTATCAGCTGGTTGAACCACCAACTACGTTCTTACAACCCCCAAGGGATGCGGAGAAGAGATCTTTGCTTGTATCCCAAGCGTCACCCACTTGCTAAGTTCTAAAATACGCTCTACCTCCTCCTGTCCAGTATCCACCAATGGAGCCTCGACCTTTCCAAAACAATCATGCTCCAATTACTAGCACAGGAATGGGGATCCTCCTAAAATGTTCTTCATTGTATCATGGCATAAAAGCAATAATAAATGACATTTCCGACGCGTTTCAGTCCAAACGAATAGTCTTAGCCAGGGCCGTCCCTACACTATTTGCCATCTGAGGCCCTTTGTTGGGATTGCGTTGCTGTTATTCTATGGTCGGTCCGGGGGGGTGCAATCATTGAATTGCGTTGCTGTTATTCTATGAAGTCGTTCCAGGGGAGGGGGTGTGTTTGGTTGAGCCTTGCTGTCAGAGGCTCTGTCCGGCTTCCCGCCCAGCTCGCTAGCGTCACTGGTTGCCTGGAGCTCGGCAGGACGCCAGCCAAAGCATCCCACTCAGCTCCTGGCAACCAGTGATGTCACTGAACGGGACGGGAAGCCGGAGATACCGTCACAGGTTGCTAAGAGCTCTTAACAACCTGGGACGTTGCGGCGGCTTCTTATAAGGTGGCAATGCTCTGTCCCTGTCTCCCAATTGTGCCCTTGCGTTGTCTACCTGTCACACAAGCTACAAGGGGCTGTAACACATAACACACATGTAGAGGGGGGTTTCTCAAATTTGACTGCAAAGGTGGAACTACACTTTAATGGGATATTGGTGCCCGTATAAGTGGGATTTTTTTTTTTTTTTTAGGTCTAAAGGCGTCATTCTGAATATCTCTTCTGGAAGTGGCATGTACCCTGTCCCCTTGCTGACTGTATACTCTGCTACCAAGGTAGGTGGCCCCGTTTCGTTATTTAGCAATAACTCCACCAAGCTATTCGCTTCAGTTGTTTTCACATACCTGTCTTTTTTAAAACCCAAGTTCAGCCCAAACTTCTAGATTTGGACAGAGTGGGGAGCTTCTCTCCAGGTTTTTGTTGGGTTCTGTGACTTTCACAGGGAGATTTTCCCCTCACGTCCTGTCTCTGTGACACCAGGGCAAGAAACGTGTTCCTCTCTTGTCACCAGGAAAGGTAGTCATAGACCGCGATCACAACCTGATTAAGATTCTAAACCTTCTCACCACTGGAGAGATAGCCCACGATTCATGTCCCTTTTAACCTCTGACACAAGGACAGGAAGTTCAAATAAATCTCCCAGTTGTGACACACAAAGCAGTAAAAACTTGATAAAGGTTCTAATCTATCTCTTTAAGAATTTTGGATGGAGATGGTCTTAAAAGGATAACTACACTTTGTATTCTTTAAAGCTCAACTCTAGTTTGGGCAAAGCTTAAACAATTTCAATCTCTGGCATTTCCTAATCTATGCTCTCCTCCTATTTGGTGCTGTCCCTGCAAACACACCCATCCAGGAATGCGATGCCGCTGCTTTTCTGGGTTAAATGACTCCATGAGTTAATCCACCCATTTCCTGTGAGCCCAACACGGCAACCTGAGCAGGTAAACTGTGAAGGCAGAATGGGGCCCTAGGCATGGTAGTAGCTTTGTTCCCTGCAATCCCTTCGCTTGACATTGACAGGGATTGCAAGGCACAGATAAGTTGCCCTGTCTGCACAGGGATCATGCCACCAACTCACCCCATTTGCTGGGCCTCCTAGACATCCATTGGAACTTGGGCCCCTTCCCAAGTTGCCCTCTGTATGATTGGGCTCTGAAACAATTCCCCCTCCCCGGGCGGTCCAGCTCTGAAACCCCCCATCCCCGGAAGGTCCTGCTCTGACACCAGGCCTCCCCGGACATTCCGGCTCTGACACCACCCCCAAACCAATCCCACC